GTATAACTGCCCTGCTGATGCTGTGCATGGGGCTCAGTTCGGCCCGGCATGGCATAGCACGGCTCTGTTGGCGTTTTGCTGCAGAGAGAGTAACCCTGGTGACCCCTGTAAGGGAGAGCCAGTTGCCTTGAAGGCAGTTGGAGGGGGAGCCAGGAACCGGCTTGTGCCCAGAGGGAATGAGTTAAGTTGCTGACCCTGTCGCTGGCCTTACGGGCCAGAGAGTGCAGCTACAAGCGTGTGACGGTAGGAGCTGCAGAGCTGCTGCTGAGAGGAGCTTCGGAACCAGAGCAGACAGCTCAGATAAAGGCAGAGAGTGTAAGAGAGTTGCTGATGAGAGAGCTGCTGAATAAAACTACATTTCACCTGCTTACAGCCCCCCAGTGTTCTTTCCGCTATTCGACCATCTACCCACTCACCTCGGACCTCAGCTGGGGCTGGAACCTAACCGCAAGCAGGACATTTGGCATGGTCATAGCCCTGGACGTGACATTATTGAAATATTAGGTCAGACCAGAGAATACTGCCAATCCTTGACCACTTTTGACCTATAAAAACAGCAGTTTCATATGGTTCAATCTATTATTAATGAGTGAAATAATTTGATATCTAAAATTCTTTTTAAATATTTTTGGGTGAAAACGGGGTGCAGGGGTGGATAGATGAAATAGGATTGTCAGAATATTGACAATAGTGGGTCTGAGTGATGAGGATGTTGGGATTCATCATGCTGTTCTCTCTCTATGCTTGTGTTTGCTTAAAACTTTTCCATAAGTTTTGTTTGGTATTCAACTGTGTATTATGACTATGAGGTAGTTTTTAGGTCCACAAGTGAACTTTAATCTTGTGTGGACACACCAAAAGGAGAGATTTAATTGGGCTGTGTAAATGAACCTAAAGGCAGGTGGAGCTGGTGTCAGCAATGATTGATTGACTGCCTTGAGCACCTTGAGGACCTCCTCTGTCATTCTCTATTTTCTCCCTGTTCCCTTTGGAAGATTAATTTGCTGTTACAAACTTGTGCAAGTGGTGGGGTCTGAACACAGAGAGGGTTGGGCTGGGCTAGTAAGCCCACATCCTTGTGTTTTGTGATTTAAAAAAAAGGGACAAGAGGTTCTTATCCCCTAGTAGGAATGTGGAAAGTCCCAGGAGCCCTGATTAGCCCCGTTTAGATCAGATGCCCACTCCTTTGACCAATTACTGTGCCCGTGGCTGTGAGAGACTGTAATTGGCCCAACTTGGGTCACCTGACCACCTCAGTAACCAGGGAGGCTCCTTGTGCTCTGAAGATTCGGGGGAGAAAGAAGGTCTGAGGAGACAGAAACACGAGCCACCCTTATAAGGTTTCTGGTTGTTTGCACTAGCTATTAGATTACAAGCAGTCTGATCACAGATCACGTCTTTTTCCTTACCAGTTAATTGTTTCGCCAGTTTTTATTTCAAAGTTTAAAGAGCTAATTGCAAGACTTGTTGCAAAACAGAATCAGCATTCCCCTTTCCCTTCCTCGGAGGTGACTAGTTGTAACTCTCTGAAGTGGTTCTTTTGGTTATGCTTCCACAAGTTGGAGTGACATCTTTCTATTCCTCTGTTTGGTTCTTCACTTACAGGCACTGTCTACCTAGTCCCATCATTTAGATGATTTTGATGTTTTTCATACCCCCCCACGCTCCTTACTCAACATAGTCATCCCTTCTATCCCCTCGAGTTCCCTATAAATTATATCAGTTGCACTGATTAGGTTAGTAAATTTAACATTTACACAATCCTGACTGTAAACTGTATCTCTAGCTGAGCTATAGCTGCACAACTTTGTTTTCTCCTTAGAGTTCATAGTTTTTTTCCCCATGGAAATGGTTTCTTAGCTGGGTAGAGGCCATCTCACCAGCATACATCTTTGTTTTATAGAATTACACATAGGTCTGAACTTGGGAGTTCACCCCCATGATTTCAGGTTACTCATACCCTCTAAAATCCATTTGTTTTTATTGTATTTCATAAAATAGCATCACATGAGGCAACAATGTGGTTGAAAACAATTTTAGGAGGACCTATAGTTATAGAAATGCATCAACTTTGGTCATTATTTAAAAAATATAGATAGCTACCTCTTTAACAACGTACAGAAAGCATATAAAACAGCACATAAAATGTTTCTGAACTTCTAACTGTAGTGCCTTAGGATCAAGAGGTATGTATGCTTATTTAATTTGGTGCTTTCCAAATACTAAATCAGCCTAATGCTTGCAATGTTGAAATAATGTTCAGGAAAGATATCCTAACAGTGGTTCTGAAAGCATAGTTTAGAACAGCATCAATCTCACTTAGGTACTTGTTAGAGATGCAAATCTCCCTCCCCTTTAATGAGAAAGAAAAGGTGGGGAGCAATCTGTGTTTTAGCAAGCCCTCTGGATGATTCTGCTGCGGACTGGAGTTTGAAAACCAGTGTCCTGGACAAACATTGTATAAGTTAGGGATCATGCCCAGCTGTTAGTAATAGAGACCTGAGATGACAGTGGCTTAAAGCACACACCAAGCTTTCCTTCCGTAAAAGAAGACTGTAGATAGGTAGTCTTCGATGATTCAGCTACCCGATTTTCACTCTGTCCCTGCCATAAAACTCCCATCCTCATGGTTTTAAAATGGCTGCTGAAATTTCAGCTATAACAAACATTCTAGGCAGCAGGAAAAAGCAAGAGAGGTGGGGAGAAGGTAAGCTAGGTAAATTACTTTCCAAGTGCACTGTCAGATACCCTGCCCAGTGACTTCAGCTTATCACTCATTTGCCCATCACCCCAGAGTTGAAAGGGGAGCTGAAAATTAACAGCTGGTCATAGTGTTGCTTCAAATAAAACCAGGGATGCCAGAAAGAATGGATGCTAGAAGGAACTAGCAACTTCTAGATCTTTCCTGGAATGGCATCATTCATCAAAGTTAAGCCTTTAAGAACATTATTCTCAAGGAACTCTTTATACCCATGCATTAAAACACCATCTTATATTTCTTAGAGGAAAAACTACATCCTTGTCTTAAGCAAAAGTCTTTGCTTACTTTGAGAATCTGAATAGCTATTTATCAGAATAAATGAATACAATTTATTTCACCTAAGTAGAGGCTGTAGTTGTATACATCAACCAAGGGTCCTACACAGTTTTTGAGAGGTTGATTTATAACAAACATACATGAAAAACAATCAATTAAAAATACATTCTCTTCAGGATTGTAATTTATCTCATGGAAATGCATCATAAGGAAGTAATTCAAGGAAAGGAGAAGCTATGTGTACGAAACTGTTCATAGCATTGTTATTTATGACAGTCAAAATAGTTTACAATCCAATGTCCTACAATAAAGGAAAGGCTGAGTAAATTGTGGTATGACCATTACGTAGCCATAAAGACCATGTAGCAACATGGCAGAGTGATTGCAAAAATATTGGGAGTGGGGACGAGAGTCAAAACACGTGTATATAGATAAGAGCATTCAGGGAACTATAATGGTTTTGTCAGGATGTTAGAATTACGAATATAAGTGGTTTCTGTTTAATTTTCTTTATTGTTCTATTGGAAACAACAAAGGACAAAACAAGAAACTTCAAGAACAAATAAAAAAATTTATCCAGGTTACTGGCCATGGTTTTCCCTCCAATTCTTTTCTGGCTGTTTGTCTTATGCATGATTCATCTGAGGTGCTCCAGGAGGGTGTGCTCTGCTGCTTTGTGGGAAGGCTGTATGTAAGACCCATCGAAGAGTCTTCCTGTGGCTTTTGTGTGCCCACGTGGCTTGACACCCTGATCATCTGTCTCTGAAGCCGTTTGTTTTGCATCATCGGAATATTTTTTTCCAGTACTGAGAACAAATTTACAATCATCTATTTATTCTCTCTTGCCACAGATTCCTCATAATCAGTTTCATGAAACTAGAAGCCATTTGTCCCAATTTAGATGTAGATTTGTAGATGCCAAAGGGAACAAAAAAATATGGAACTTATGTAGGAATCAAATCTATCAGTCTTTAATACAACGCTGTGTATAGACCTGCCTTCCCACCACTAGCACCAAAAAATAGTCCCCCATTCCTGAAATTACTGTGGATTCACATGGTTGTCTAGCTTGGTAAGAGCTAGAATTAACCTTAGGTTGAGTAGACTGTTAATTTTTTTAGGTTGAAGATTCTCCAAATGCCCTTACTCCTTACGATGGATGGAGATTTATGAGTGAAATGTGCAAACCCCTGGCTTATCTGCTAGGTAGGCTGGTGACTGTTAGATTTAGAAAGGGTGAAAGAAAAATGGCCAGGGAGCTTTTTGGAGGGTGTTGTTGATAACAAATGCTCAGCTCAGTAGAGCTGGGAGAACAGAGCAGAAGCTTAGCAGGAGCAGGAGCAGAAGCTAATCCTCTACCAGCAAGGCCTGGGGACACTGGGGAAGCCAGGCCCCACATGTCTGAACACTTACAACCAAGGCAGGAGTCCTTCAAAGACAGGGAAGAATCTTGGCTGGGCTTGGGGGGCTAACACCTATAATCCCAGCGACTTGGGAGGCTGAGGCAGGAGAATCACTTGAACCTGGGAGGCAGAGGTTGCAGTGACCCGAGATCCTCCCATTGCACTCCATCCAGCCTGGGCGACAGTGAGAGACTCTATCTCAAAAAGGAAAAAAAAAAAGGAAGAATCTTGATTTTCCAGGAAGTGAGAGACCTGAGATAAAGAAAACTACTTCCATAAAGTAATCAAGCAAACAAGAGTATTTATCTAATTAATCTTAGAGGAGAAACAAACCTGAAGGAGGACGAAGACAGGGAAATCCTGGAAGACTCTGAAATTTTACCAAATTAAACAGATTAAGTTCATGTGCCTCTATTGTGCATAATACACATGCTGAATTTCTTTTACACTGTAGTGAAATTAACTCTGCTTCTTAATTACCGGGCAAGCGCCATAAACTGAAAGAATCTTTGTAGAGAACCAGCAAAACCAAAGAAAGGAAAGCTCATAAAGTCCAAGGGTTCAGGGTTTTGGAGCACATTTTATTTTACCATACCAGAGAATTAACATCTAGTAGCAGCATAATACAAAATGAAACACCAAGCTATTTAAAACTAATGTTACAGGAACTGTATTTTGAAAATGGAAAGGAAACAAAATAGGCGATTTAGAGACCAGTCAATATAAATGCATTACAAAAACCCAAAACTCTCATTTCATCATCAATGCAAACAAAAATCATTTGTAATAACATACATAAGAATACATTCACTTACATTCACAAAGTAGATTATCATTTTTATTTTACATGAAATATGTCAAGACATATGTAGGTATATCTTCACATTTGGAAAGGCAAGATAAATCTTCAAATTTAAATATGTACATTTCACTTTAAATAACCAAAATATTAAAAATAGCAGCAACACTGGTCTTTAAATACATCTAATATTACAAGAGATTGTTCACATAATATAGGCTATTTGGGTAGCTCTTTCATTATTAATATTGTTTAATATCCACATACGATTTAGAAACTCTAAGGTTCTGGTGTGATCTCTGAATAACTTAGAGTCTAAATTCAATAAATACTATACAAAGAATAATTATAAAACACAGACTGCAGGACATTCTCAAGAACGAGGAAATCATACCCAAAAGTTTTAGGGAAGAATCAGATATGAAGGCGTACAGGAAATCTGCAGGATTTCCAAGGCAAAAAGGTGTGATCTGACAAGCTCCCTGAAATGTTAACAAACTGAGTCCAGAGAAATGTGTGAACGTCTCGAAGGCACTTTCTCCTCTTCATCCTTCCATGTTCCCTTTGAATATGGCATTCAAGTGATGAACAACTTGGGAAGTTTCCCAATAAACAGGGAATAGAATAATTTCTCACCAGGAGGCAAGACATTGGATCAGGAGGTTATTTGTTTCTCAGCATTTACATTTGTTCTCATGACCAAAGGCAAAAAAACCAAGATTTCATCTGGATCTCATGTATTTCATCCTAGATAGTGGGAAAGTATTTCTAGCCCCATTCTCAATGTAAGCCACTGCACCAACCTGTTAATCCTATTGGCTTAGAAAGAAACCCCAAATGGGGTTCCAGGGGTTTCCTCAGATCTGGATTTGGTTACAGACGTTGCCCCTGTAACTGGGGCCTCTTTTTATATTTCAGTGGTTTTTCAGAAAAGGTAAATGTTTAAGTCTTTATATGGAGTTGGACCTTTGTTTGCCTTATATTACTACAGGTATCACTCTCTGACATTTCAATAGTTTGTACCTCTTTTCAAACCACTTCATATACTATTTCAATCGATTCTCACAAAAAAACTTGTGAGGAAGTCAGGATAGGCATCCAAGTGCTTATTTTGAAGACCTGGAAAACTGAGGTTCATAGAGAACGAAGTGACCTACCTGTCCACAGTCATACGTGAGTGAACCAGTATGGATCTTTGGCAGAACTTAGCTCTATACAATGTTTACTCATTTTGAAGAATGGGGCTTGCTAATAGCTGTTTCTGAAGAATGAAGTAATTTGAAGGGGGTAAATAAAAACGAGTTCAAGAGAAGAAAGGCAGCGAGAAGTGGTGTCAGTTGGCAGTTAATCATGAACTTTAAAATGAGCAAATTGCATTTCATGTTTAGAACACACACATTTAAAAATATGTAATACTTAAATCTTCCAAATTGTCCTATGTTGGCCTTGATTTACTACATCTTTAATATCTGAGGCTACATCGCTACTTACTGAGGCTGCCATTGAGACATATGGTGACCAAGAAATTTTTACATGAGTTCTACAACTTCCCAAGAGACTGGTGAAAATGTTATTGCCTATTCTCAGAACCCCATTCCTACCCCATTTCACTTCTAGAACAATTCCATTACAGATATGTGTGTGTATATGTGTGTGTGTGTGTATATATATATATATATACACACACACACACATATACCACTGTCAGGATATCTTTCCTGAACATTGTGTGTGTATACACACACACACAATTCCTACCCCATTTCACTTCTAGAACAATTTCATTACAGATATGTGTGTGTATATATCTGTAATGGGATTGGTTCTAGAAGTGAAATGGGGTAGGAATTGTGTGTGTGTGTATATATATATATATACACACACACACACACACACACACACACACACGTATATATACACACACACACATAATGTTCAGGAAAGATATCCTAACAGTGGTTCTGTTTTATATATATATATATGTATATGACTCATTTGGTGGCTTTCTCAAATGTGGGTTTTAGAAAATATCCTTAATGAATATTCTTGCTGTGTCCTTAGGAAAATTAGCTTTTTTTCCTCTATGGAACTAAGCTGAGAAAGACTGCAAGAAACATATAGCTTTTATCACTTTATATCTGGATTTCAGTTGGACAGTTGCTGGAGATGAAAACATTTTAAATGACTATAAGAATTAATTTAGAAAGCTGTCATATTTCACACAACCTTTTCAAGAAAGTTTAGTGACTCTTAGCTTGATAATTCCGTAAAACAAAATTATAATCATTCCATAGGGAGTATTCCATTGTAAAGAAACTTACCTAGAATGGTAACTTACCAGTTGAAGACTTAGGCTTAATGTTCTGGTGACACTTGGAGCTATTAGTCAGTTCTTATTTTTATTCAGTAAATGAATTTTAAAGAAAAGTTGAATTAAAAAGGAGTCCATTCATGATACTGTTTTGTAACATGATAAAAAATGTTGTATAAATCTCTTCACTCCTCTTTAGGCACTACCTGTTGCAACCCATATCCTCACCCCCTTCCTTAACTTTCATACACCTATAAATGCCCCCCTCAACAGTCTCCTGAACCCTGAATTGACCAAGTAATGCACCAAAAGGCAGATTATGCTTTGGCAAGCAGGAAATTGGACTATTCTTTGAGATTTTTCTGAGGTAGTGAGTCTTTCCTCCTCTGCTCTAATGGTTAAGAAATGTCTTGGAAGCTGAGTTAAGAGACAAGTGGAGTGTTGGTCACAGTACTTAACACTACTCTGAAATGGGTGGTTTACATGATCAGATGATTACCACATACTTCAAAAACTTCTTCAGTAGAATCCTACTATGTGGCGAACTTAAAGATATCAAGGTTGCTATGATGAGGATAAGCCACAGTCTCTAAAAAAGTGCCTAGGTGCTCAATAATATTTGATGACTGACTGAATGTTTAAGATTTCTGACTTAGTTCAGTGAGATTATAAGCAAAAACAAACATTGAAAAAACCTAACCAACTGCGGATAATATCATCAAAGGCTAGATCACTTTCCCTTGTGCAAGGAATTCTGGACACCTTGTAAAGTGTGGGACGACTGAGTTTAAACAGTATTGGGCATAGTATAGTATTCAATTCCATATTGACTCAATTTATCAGGTACCCAAGATCTTATTTCCATCCTGATTTTACTATCATGATGTGGTTGTGAGATTTCTATCCATAAATAACTTTTCTGAGGACAAAGTGATCCAGTCTCTCTGTTGTTCCTCTAGCTTTTCTGTCAAGCATTTAATCAAGATAGGGTCCACCTTAGAATCAAATTTGTTAGCAAACCAATGTCCATCTTTGATAAGCCACCTTAATTCTGCAGCTCCATAAATACACACGCTTCGAAGGTGAGATCCGGTACAACTGGGATACAAAAAGCCTTCATAGTAATTCCACTTGACAAGGCGGGTCTTACTCTGCAGATCAGACACATCCTGGGCTGATCTGGAAATCTCCCCAGGTATTCCTGGAACCCGAATCAAGGTAGCCCAAAAGTGCTCATCAGGAGAGTATGTGTCTTTAGACCAGGCAAAAAAGTCTTGAATGATAGAGTTATTGAAGATATATTTGACAAATGCTTGACTTAAAACAAAATAAGCACTGCCAACAAATATCTGAATGTTATGGGGGGGTGCTTCCTTGGAGATGTTTGTCCTTACTGGTAGCTTCACATATTCATAAGGCACCCGTCTGAGTTCATGATGGTAAGTGAATCTTTCCAATTTACTGTTAGGGGGTTTCACCGTTTCCAACATATTCGCTCCATTGAGTTTTTTCAACTCTGACACTAATTCAAAATTTGACTTCAGGGGGAAATCTTGCCCACACAGGTTGATAACGTATTTCCATTGGACTGAAGACTTCAGAAGGTCTGACAAACAATTTAAATCAGCTTGGAGTCTGGAAATGTGAGCATATTCCACAGCCTCTAATTTGGAAGCAATGAAAATATTGGAGAAGCACTTAGCTAAATTGTTCATGGCAACTTTGAAGGTATCAGGTGCCTTACGATCATAATGGATGCAGTAAATATTGTGCTGGTTGTATATAGTGTGAATAAGCCTTTCAACCATAATTGCATCTTTGTGGACAACCAGAGAATAGGCTATTGGGAAGCTTTTCTCCTCCTTTGAAACAGGCTTTTGAGCGTAACCTCTTAGGGTCTGATAAATGTCACAATCACTGGTCATTGCCACAACATCATCATCCTCCAAGTCAATGATGTCCCTTCTTCTTATTTCCAGACTCTTGCCAATTTCCAAAGGCTCCTGCTCATAGATACCCGAACAGTTAACTTCATACCTGACTTCATCCTTAACATGAGTGTATCTGTTTCTTACAAAAGGTGACGTACTCAGCGAGTACTCAACCAAGTAAATGTCTCTTTGCGGAAAGAGTCGTCTCACATTTAGAAGCTTTAACAAGGAGAACAGCCATAGGGTTAAAAACAAGATGAAAACCTTCTGCTGTAGGGTATGTTTAAAACAACATTTGAATATCTTCATTCTGTAAGAAGAGAAAGAAATAATCCAGTTGGAATATTAAGAGAATCACGTCAGTTTATCCAAAATCTATTGAGCGCCTACCACACACTACACAGAATGCTAGCCCCAAAGATGAATGAAACAAGGTTTCTATCCTTGAAGGAGTCCAGAAATAAGGAAATGGAATTATGAAGAATGGTGGTATTTTGGAGTATTCTGTGTTAACTATACCTAATTTTGAGAGATGTTGGTTTCCAAATAGAATGGAAGGTAATGTAAACTCCTAAAATATAAATATAGCATGTCTTACAGTGTCTGCATTTCTGCTTAGCATATTTGAGGAGAGATTGCTCTGGTTTGGGCAGAGGTCTAGAGAACTGGATGTCATCAAGAGAGCCTCGAAGATGCAGAGGACTCACCTGAGGCCAAAGGGAACATCTGTCTTGATTCTACCTCCAGATCCTGATTAGATCCACATCTGAAGTCAAACAAGGAAAGCCCAGTGAAGCCCACCTTTAGAAAGAAGAGTGGTGGGCAGATACCCAAAGAGCTATAATAAGTATTCGAGATTATAAAATGTATAGATAACAAAATTGGGTAAACCTGCATATTTTCCTTATTTTTAATTTTGTTAATGCTCATTTTCACACAGGGATTAGTAATTTAGCCCTTAAAATAAAAATGGCCTGATTCTCACTGAGAGTAGTAGGTGGGGGTATAATAACTACCTTGGGGGGGCAATTTGGAAATAGCTGTCAGTTTTAAATGTACCCACCCTGAAGATGCCCTGTGTGGTTCCCTCTAGTGTTTTGTATTCAACAAGGAGGTTCCCTACAGTGCTTTGTATTCAGGCAAGACAGGAAATATCTCAAACATCCTTGAACAGTGCATTGATTAAATTACATCCATGCTATATTATGAGAAAAGGCCTGAGACCAATCTGCATGTACATGCCAATGGGGAATAATCTCTAAGATACACCGTGAAATAAAAACAAGCAAAACGTAGAAGCATATATAGTATACTTATGTATCTATACATGCAAAGAGCATAAGCTACCAAACTTTTTCTTTTTTAATTTTTTGAGATAAGGTCTTGCTCTGTCACCCAGGCCGGAGTGCAATGGTGCAATCATGGCTCAATGCAGAGTTGAACTCCTGGGCTCAAGTGATACTCCCACCTCAGCCTCCCAAGGAGCTGGAACCACAGGTGTGTGCCAACATGCCCAGCTAGTTTTTCCTTTAGTAGAAATGGGGTCTTACTATGCTGCCCAGGCTGGTCTTGAGCTCTTGGCCTCAAGTGATTCTCCCACTTCAGTCTCCCAAAGTGCGGGATTACAGGCATGAGCCACCACCCTCACCCTAAACTTTTTCTTAAAGGACCAGATAGTAAATATTTTTGGCTCTGTGGGCCATAATGTCTCAGTCACAACTACTCAACTCTGCCTGTTTTGATGGGAAAGCAGCCACAGATTATATTTCAATGAGTGGGTGTGGCTGAGTTTCAATAAAATTTTATTTACAAACACAGGCAGCTGGCTGGATTCAGCCCACAGCTGTAGCATTTCCAAAAGGATACTGTATACACACAACACTGGTAATAGGAGTTGCTCTGCAGGGTAGAGTGGGGAAGGACTGAGGATTGGGGCCTGGGTAGGAGGAGGATTTACTTATCACTGAATATCTTTTAGTATCATTTGCATTTAGAAATGATTATACTACTTTTTCAGATGAAAACAGGCTGACTAGGAGGAGGGTACAGAGGTACTGATAGAGAGCAGTAAGAAGGTGGCCCAGGAGGTACTAGCCCAAGGCTCCAGGACAGGAAGGCTGGCTGAGCCCCTACGGCTGAGGCTCAGATACTGAGAACTGGTGGGGTCCAAGAGCCCACGTGCAATTTTCTAACACATCTTAATAAACCTTAAATGGAAGACATAATCATTGTATACAATTTCATTCAAGAGAATTACCAAGAAGTTGGAACCCAATTTAATTTTGTAGATTTCATCTGTACAGACCAATTGACAAAACTCTCCCCTGGGAATGACATCCCACCTTCCTCATTCACCTCCACTTAAATCCCTCTGTTTAAAGAGCCACACCTTCACCACCACAAACTGTACTGCAGAATTCCACACTCCAGCCACACCTCGTCCCTCCTCTGTGGGCTGCCCCAGGCTTCTATCCTCAGCTCACTTCTCTTCTTGTGCATACTTGCCCCCATCTCTGGATTCCACCTTCCACACTGATGCCTTTCCACCTTCCAACACCTTTCCCTCCAGCCCTCACCTCTTGCCCAAGCCTCAGAGGTGAATCTGCAGTTGCTGGATGGACATTGCCACTTGATATCCTACAGGCACTCAGCCTCCACAAGTCCAAACTAAACTCGAAACTGAACTCGACATCCTCACTTCACCTGCGTTTTCTGTCTCAATGGTGAGACCATCCCTCCACTCAAGCATGGCCCATGCTTGAAACCAGAGTTACCCAATTCAACCATTTCCCTCACACCCATGTTAACACACCACCTCATAAAGGTGCCTCAAATCCATTCCTTCTTCTCCATCCCCACTGCCAAGTCCAGAGAGCATCTTTGCTGAATCAGCACCCAGGTTAAGAGACTCCTAGTCAGGCTCATGGCCCTGGGTCCCTTGTAGGTCTCAGCTTTCTGCTCCTCCAAAGCACACCGAATAGGGTCCCATCACTCAGGCTCAAGGCCATGAGCCAGGGTTGTTGCCAGTTGTTCTAAAACCATGGAAAACTGTCCCCCCCCCCCCAACCTGATGCACAAGGCAACTCACTGCAACTCCAGAAGCCTGGGCATGTGTGTGGAATTGAGTGTTGTGGTACAATAGAAGACTAATCAATCCCAAACGTGTGTGTGTGTGTGTGTGTGTGTGTGTGTGATCATTGTCTTAATTCATGGTCACTAGGCATAAATAGTATGTAGCTTACAGAAATGGCTAGAATTAGAACAGGTCTAACCCAAAGTAAATTTTGGCTGTTTCTTTTCTCACTTTATTGGTCCATGGAATCTCTAATTAATGTTAATTAGCACTTCCCCTGACACCACAGTGGTAAAAAGACCTCACATTTTAAAGAGATTTACCAAGTCTCCCAGAGTTGTCATATCATTCAACTATCATCTTCACACTTACATAAAAAGACAAAGGCCAGCTCCCTGCCTTCTTACTCATTTCTAGGGCCTCTTCTGCATCCAGACATCCCTGCCTTTCCTTAGAAGGCCTGGGGCACACTCCAGCCTGGGTTGGGAGAGTCTGAGCTGGGCAGGAGGCCATGGTTACCTGCCCACAGATAGACAGTCACAGGACATCCAGGGAAGAAAGAGGTTGGAGCCACCCAGTGAGAAGTCCTTTGGCACCTGGCCCTGGGGCCCACATCTGAGAATCAGGAACAAGAGTGAATTTCAAAGGAAAAAGGGTAGGAAAATGGGACAGCCCAGGCAACTTGCTTTCTCATGCACCTTCTTCCACCCAAGGCATCTTTAAGGGGGAGAACTCGTCTGTCTTGGGGTCAGCCTTTGATATCCTTTGAAATGAGTAGCCTTCTCCAATGGCCAGAAATCACCCCCCTTTTTTTTAAGTTCTGGGATACATGTGCAGAACATGCAGGTTTGTTACATAGGTAGACGTGCGCCATGGTCATTTGCTGCACCCATCAACCTGTCATCTAGGTTTTAAGCCCCGCATGCATAAAGTATTTGTCCTAATGTTCTCCCTCCCTTGCCTCCCACCCCCCAACAGGCCCTGGTGTGTGATGTTCCCTTCCCTGTGTCCATGGGTTCTCATTGTTCAACTCGCACTTGTGAGAACATGTGGTGTTTGGTCTTCTGTTCCTGTGTTAGTCTGCTGAGAATGATGGCTTCCAGCTTCATCCATGCCCCTGCAAAGGACATGAACTCATTCTTTTTTATGGCTAAACAGAAATCCCTTCAACTGAAAATCACTGTTTTCCCCAAAGAGGTTCGTAGGTGCAAAGCCACTTGGTATGGAGTTTCTGTCAACTCCCAAAGGGGGGCGTTGGCCTCCTCCCAGCTGCAGTGCTCACTAATAATAATGAGGGGAATGGTGGCAGGAGGTTAGAGAGGCCCACAGGTCCCCAACCTTGGCTCTGCTGGCTTTGGCTTCCTCTGAAAAGAACATCTGTGACACCTGTGGGCCGCTCCCATTGGGCTCTGCAGGGGGTACACCCCCAGAGCAGCACAGCCCCAGGGGACACAAGTAACAGGGGGTGGGGGTAGGCTGGCAGAGGCCTCAGGCTTGGAGGAATGAGAACCAGCTCCTGAGTTCTGACCAGGTCTCACCAGAGTCAGCTGGGCTGCAGCTGGCTGTCACGTTGGTTCCTAGGAAACCAGACAAGCAATGTCACCTTCTGCAAACACTGCACCCAGTACTTTCCCTCTTAGAGGCTTATGGGCAGGAAGTAGGCAGGTGTTTTGCTGCCAGGAAGTTAGTCTTACAATGACATTACAAATAATGCCCCACCCATGGGAGAAGCAGTATTTCCCCTTCTACCTATCCAGGTAGACAGGAAGGTCTGACATGCTGTGGAGTTTATTGCCACATAGGCACAGGTTCCTAGTGATGACAGAACTGAAAAAGCTGTAGCAAGGTTTGGTGGCCATAACTCAGGTGAAGTATGGCCTATAATAATTCAGTAAAAACCTACTCCTCACTAAAGTCCCAATAGGGATGTGGAACGAAGCGTTTGCCTCAAACCATGTTCTCCCAGCTCTCCCAGGCGTTCTTGGAGCCTGCAGGGAAGCAGCAGGGGCATAGAGGTGGAGCCCAGCGAAGTAGATGCGACCACATTCAGGGACACTGCAGCGAAGTGCACATGACCGCATTCAGGGACCTGCCAGCTAGGTGGGCACAACCACATTCAGGGCTAAATGGCTACAACCGTTAGCGGCTCTTCAACTAACTCTTCTTACCTTGGCAATTTAAAAACAAGGGCTGTCAAAGTCCAGATGCTTCCCCTCCCAGGGTAGAAAGGGGAATGGTAAATCAAGAATGGGAGGAAGGAGACTGAGAAAAGGACTGAATAAGGTTGAGTTTAGGGACCAAGAATGCCTGCACCTTTTTCATTACCAGGTTGTGGGGCACTAGGGAGAGAGGAAAGAAAAAGCTGGGCTTCTGGATGCCACCGACCCTGGGCTTGAGTCCCTGGATGAGTGCTTAGTAGCTGTAAGACTCGGTTCAACTATTTAAGCTCTGTGAAAGGCCAGTTTTCTTGTTAAAAAGAAGGCTGGCCTAGGAAACGTGGCCAGACTGCTTTTTAAAGTGGCTCCATGATCCTGTTCCTCTCACCGGGCGTGACCTCCCAACCAGTGTCTCCAGCTACCCTCGCGCCGACGCTTTCTGGCTGACAGAGGTTTTGAACCTCCCTGGGATGAAGCTCCCAGAGGGATGGGCAGGCTGCCAACTTTGCTCTTTCGCAGCTTCACTGTGGATACCTCCAGTTACTGGAAAATCTGAGGTGATTAGGGACTCCATGGCTTCTTTAAGGACCCTGCCCAGACCTGTGGCTTACTGTCCTGTTTTTCAGTCTACCTCCTATTTCCCCACAAGGTCTCAACAAACTAAGTATTTTAGAATTAGTGCCTGAAGGCCTCCATGTAATGCTCTTTATTAATTTTATGTATATTCATCCCTCAGTATACGCAGGGGATTCATTTCAAAATCTATGCACACTCAAGTCCCACAGTCAGCCCTGAGGAACCAGGTATGGGAAAAGTTGGCCCTCCCTACACATGGGATTTGAATCCTACAAATACATTTTCAATTTGTATTTACTTGAAAAAAAAAAAATCTGTGTATAAGTGGACCCCCTGAAGTTCAAACCTGTGTTTTCAAGGGCCATACTGTAGTTATGATTAATGTAGAATCACTCAATCAAGAATTATCACTAGGGGCACCGTTCTAAGTACTCTAGGTTTTGGTTGTAACAATTCAGTCCCCTCAAGAGATCGATGAGGTAGGTACTACTGTAATCCCTCTTTTGTAAGAAAGGAAACTGAGGCAATAAAAAGCTGCCCAAGGTTACAGATCTAGAAAGTGCTTTAAATGGAACCTGAACCCAGAAAGTTTTGCTGCAGACTTGCACTTTTAACCCTTTATGCATACCGTCTCTTGGAAGACCACATAAAGAAAAAAATTCTCCATATTTCCCGCAAGAGTTTTAGCCCTTGACTAAATTTTCCCCTTACTGTCTTCTCCAAATGTCCTAAAACGGGAACAGAAGTCAACTCAGATTTTGTTTAACCCTGTTTAAGAGACTTTTTTCATGGAGAATGAGCCTGGAGGAAGGCTGGGTGAGGAATCACATTCCATTTCTGTAGTCACAGGTGGGGACTGATAATGAACTAATGAAGAGGTTAGTCAGTCTTCCAGCCCATAGAATCAATTCAAGGAAGAGAAAGAAAGCTCATCCTGAGTGATTCTGCCATCAGTCACTCCTGTCCCATATCCTGTCACTGAAGACTTTATCAATTCATTTGTTCTTGTAGTTATCTGTGACATAATTTAGGCACAGAGAATTACTAATTGTTTTAGAAAACTTTCTGGGTGAAATTTCTCATATGAAGAACATTCCCGCTTCAGGCCCACCTTAAAAGTTCTTAAACTTTGTATTATTACATATCAGTTTGAAAAATAGGATATGACAAGCTTATTGATTTAGAAATATCAGGATTTTCCTTCTGTCTAAAGTCTTACTAAGAATACTCATCACCTAAGATCAATATAAAGATGAACTCACTAAAAAGCATCCTCATCTAGTTGAATATGCTAACCTCCTGCTACTGCAGCTCCTGGATTTCAATGAAGTCACTGATTCTCCCTTGGTGACTTGCTCATTGCTAAGCCCAGAGGATGTTCTGGAGTAAGACCATTAGGTGGGAGGATGACTCAGCCAGATGCCTTCTTCGACACTCCCACAGCACTCCAGGAGTCCAGCAGAGGAGCAGAAAGACAAGTTTCTTGCCTAGATGACCTTAGGTTCTTATTGTGCTAGGGGAAGGACTGCAAAGGCAAATAATGATCAGACTGTGAGAGGTAAACACAGCAACTGTGCAAAACACAAGGAGGGGCGTGACTGGGTCAGAAATCCCATACAAATTGAGGACAAGCATTCCTCAAATAATATTAAGATATGGTCTCTAAAAGGAAAAGAAAAAGATTTTCCATTCCCTTTTTATAAAAGTAAACACTTTCAGGCTGGGCACAGTGGCTGACGTCTATAATCCCAGCACTTTGGGAGGCCTAGGCAGATCAGCCTGGGTGCAGATCTCCTGAGGTCAGGAGTTTCAGACCAGCCTGGTCAACACAGTGAAAATCCATCTCTACTAAAAATACAGAAAATTGGCTGGGCGTGGTGGTGCATGCCTGTAATCCCAGCTACTCAGGAGGCTGAAGGAGAATCGCTTGAACCTGGGAGATGGAGGTTGCAGTGAGCTGAGATCATGCCGCTGCACTCCAGCCTGGGCAAAGCGAGACTCAGTCTCAAAAAAAAAAAAAAAAAAAAAAACCAAAAAAACAGAGAATCCCATAAATGAAGAGAAGTCCATAAATCAAGACAAGACTTACCAGTGACCCATTACCTGGCAATAACATTTTGTAGACAGTATGTCCTTCCAGAGTGGTTTTAAGAAACATTTTTTTTGGCTTCACTTTATAGCACAGTCTTACCTGTTTCTTTCATTTCACAATATAGTATGAACAAGTCCTAACCTAATCTGCATCTGTAAATTATTACAGAGTAAACAAATCCTAACAGAGGTAAACATACTTTTCTACAGGAAAAGAACCATTCAAATAATATAATTCATTTTTCTAGGTCTTCTCCACCAATGCTTAATTAATAAACCCACAGTTTCTGAAGAAGCCTAGAAGTGCAATCTCAAAACTGAAAATAATCTTAAAGGCGACTGAGCCCGTATTTCTTCTCCTCGAAATGTGCCTAGCCATCATTTAATTCCATCTCATTCCTGGGATGCGAGAACACATTTCCCTCTTTACATATGTGTCTTGGTTCATTTCTGCTGCTATAATGAAATATCCTAGACTGAATCATTTAGAAACAATAGGCATTTATTTCTTAGAGTTGTAGAAGTTGGGAAGTTCAAGATCAAGGAACAGATCTGGTGTCTGGTGAGAGCTGCCCTCTGCTTCCAAGATGGTGCCTTGTTGCTGTGTTCTCACATGGCAGAGGGCAGAAGGACAAAAGCGTGGGAGGGGTGAATGAGCTCCCCCAAGACATGGTTTATAAGGGCACTAGTCCCATGCATTAGGGCTTTACCCTCATGATTTAATCACTGTCTAAAGGACCCACTTCTTAATACTATCACACTGGTGATTAAATTTCAACACATGAATTTTGGGGAACACATTTAGACCATAGCAATATGTGTCCATCCAACTGCTCACCGTTGAGGGACTGGACAGAGGAGGGATGCCCAACTGTCCCTATTCAGGCCCCTTATGGTGGCATTTGGTCCAGCCTGGCTCCACTCCCCACTCACTCCATGAAGCCTGCTCTGGCTAAAGTCAACAAGTGATCTTATTCACTGTTCTTTTTTTCTTAAGACAGGGTCTCACTCTGTTGCCCAGGCAGAGTGCAATGGTGCAATCTCAGCTCACTGCAACCTCCCCCTCCTAGGTTCAAGTGATTCTCCTGCCTCAGCCACCCTAGTAGCTGGGATTACAGGCACCCACCACCACTCCCAGATTTTTTTGTATTTTTAGTAGATCAGTATATCACCATGTTGGCCAGTCTGGTCTTGAACTCCTGACCTCAGGTGATCTGCCTGCCTCAGCCTCCCAAAGTTCTGGGATTACAGGAGTAGGCCACCACACCCAGCCTCTTATTCACTGTTCTTATCTTATACTCTGCTCAGTTATCCTATACACCACTCAGGATAGGTACTATCTATGAGCTAGGTACTATTATCATTATCCTCATCTTTCAGATTGGAAAATCAAGTCAGAAGATAAATAACTTACCTTAGTTCATATTGCTAGTATATTGGAGGAGCAAGTATTTTCAACTGTGGTCCAATTTCAGAGCCTAAATTACTAACCACAGTTCAAGACTGCCTTTCTGATCTGGCAGTAGTAGAACCCTGTTGGCTCTACATCCAAAATGTATTTCAAGTCCATCCACCTATTTCCACTCCATACTAGCATCAACTTTTACCTAGATACAAAGTAACCTTACCTGGTTTCCCCTGCTTTCCTCTAATCCAGTCTCTGTACTGCAGCCAAAATGATTTTTTAAACATGTAAGTCAGATCACTGCCCCTCCCTAATCCCACCCACTACATCTAAAACCCTTCACTGGGATTTCTAAAAGTTCCTAGAACATCCCAGTCTCTTCCTTGCCACAGGACCTTTGCACCTACTGTTCCCACGTCTAGCCTACTTTTCCTGAATCCTGGCATGACCAGCTGCTCCAGGAAAAGAAATAGTTTTTCCTCAGGTCCTCTCTGATAACCCTTCTTAAACTTCTCTCCTATCACCCTCCTCATTTTCTTCTGAGCACTTGCCACAAGGAATAGTTACTTTACGTGTTTATGTCTTGAGACAGAAACATAAGGTCTTCCCCAGTTCGAAAGACATCTATACCGGGTACAGGGTAGTTGATCAATGGGATAAAGTCAGAAGACCTAAGTTCTAGTCTGGGCTCTGCCACCAAAAATTCTTCAAGTGACCCTAGCATGTTAATTAAGCTTGGACAAGTCTTTCTTTCCCATGTGTTAAATGGGATAAAGGTTTTTCTTTTCTTTTCTTTTCTTTTCTTTTCTTTTCTTTTCTTTTCTTTTCTTTTCTTTCTTTCTTTTTTTTTTTTAGATGGAGTCTCACTTTGTCACCCAGGCTGGAGTGCAGTGGTGCAATCTTGGTTCACTGCAACCTTTGCTGCCTGGGAAGTGATTCTCCTGCCTCAGCCTCCCGAGTAGCTGGGGTTATAGAAGGGTACCACCACATCTGGCTAATTTTTGTAGTTTTTAGTAGAGACATGGTTTCACCATCTTGGCTAGGCTGGTCTTGAACACCCGGCCTCGTGATCCACCCACCTCGGCCTCCCGAAGTGCTGGGATTACAGGCATGAGCCACCGCACCTGGCCGGGATGATGGCTTTTCTATCTCACAGTGCAATTGTGAAGGTCTTATGATAGAATGCATGTGAAAGCCATGGGGGAAAAGACAACTCTGGTATAAAAATGTCAGGTACGAGGACCTCCACAAGAGGAATGATTTCTTGGGAAAACTGAGAAACAGTCAATATGTTATAAGTTGGTTTTATTTTTGTAAAACAGTACATTCATTATTCCTTTCATTCTGACATTCTAATTATTATTAGTTTTTCACTACTTGACAGCATTCTTTTTTGTTAATATCTGGAGTATAAAATGTTCTGAAACTAAAGTTTCAGAATTATGTAGACATACACCTGTCTTGAATTTTGAGAGACAGGAAGGAAGAAATGAAATGTAGTTTATCTTTAGAGTTGTTTTTTCCCCCAGTATACTCAGTATTTTGCAAAAGATTAATAACCAAAAATTTATTAAAAAGACAGCCAAGAGCACATGCAACCCATTTCATGCAAAGTTATGATCGGCTAAACACTATCTGTAAGTCTATGTCTTGCAAAAGCTATAATCGTTTCCTATAAGTTCTTTATATATTACGGGCAATTCTCCTCCAGGTATTGCAAAACTACAATGACTTGTTCTTGCATTCCTGTTTGGCAATGTCATCCCCAAGGACCATGTAACATATAAAGCAGTACGGAGGATTCTGCAGCAACGTGAATACACAAACACACCCTCGCACTGGTCCTTTGCCAGTGTTCTGTCACAGATCATACATCAATGAGACTGCCTCAGCTCAGTGAAGTGGGATGCCCTCCTCTAAAGGAGCTCTGTTTGAGGTCCCTGTAGAACATATGCCAATTGACAGCTTTCTCTCTAGACCTGCAATTATGAACGTTGTCATCTTCCTTAAATAAAAGACTACAATAGAGACCTAAAGTAAAACACTGAGCATGAAAATAATTCTATCAACCACCTTTATAGATTTTAATTCTTCTAGCTAGAAACTTCACTGGAGCCTCTCACATTTGGGCAGAAATAAGGGACCTATAAGATTACATGGGAAATGAGCAACTCACATCAGGATGTATATACCCAGGCACTGACTTCTCAAGGTCATTGGAAATCTGGGCTGTGGTAAGGTAACAACAACAGAAAGGTGCAGAATTCAGCCATGGTCACACCAAATGGGAAATAGCACACTTGATGCTGGGCTTTATTTCAGCTGGTTCACAGGGCAAATATCAAAAGCTGATTGTGTGTGTATCTAGCTGGGCAAAGCTACATGGCTAAAAAGTCTTTAACAGGAACTGTAAAGGGCCACACATGATGAAACTGAATGAAAAGTTTTTGTTTTGTAATAGATTTTGACCCTCACCAGGCAGTAAAACATGAACAGTTTTTCTCTAAAAAAAATTCTTAAAAATATCAGAAGAGGGTGAATTTCAAAAACACCAATGCCCTCAAATTTAAGTTTGATGAAAACAGCTCACATGAAATCTTTGCTCCTTTTTGGATATAGAGGATTATGAAAAAAGGGGTGAATGAATGCATTAGATCTTTACCTCTCAAGCTTTATCAAACAAAGAGGTATCATTCCTTCTTGGGATCCCCCTGTCTTCTCTGCCCTTCTAACTTAGCTTGACACAACATAAAGTCAAACTACATTTTATGTTTCATGTTC